CTAGTCTCACCCCAGTAACACATTGTTTTGATTATAGTAACTTTTGGAAACAACTTGGAGAAAGAACAATTTTGAACAGAAGACATGTTTCCTGATTTCAAACCTTACTTACATTAAAAAAATCTTTAGCCAACTGAACAAGGAAAAAAAAAAAAGACAAGACTCAAATTACCAAACTCAGGAATTAAACTGAGAGAGCATTACTACCACTAACAGAAACAAAAGGGTTTTAAGAAAATACTATGAGCATTTGTATGCCAAATAATGAGATAACCTAGATCAATACACAAATTCCTAGAAAGAAGCAAACTACTAAAATTGACTCAAGGAAGAAAATCTGAATAGACCTAAACAAGTAAGAGACTGAATTAATTCAAAACCCTCCCAGTATAGCTCTCCATATTACTTATTATTCATTTCTAACTTAATTTTCTTGTGGTCAGGATATATGATCATAGCTTTGAAATGAACAGAAACTGGCCCTGGCAACCCAGTGTAAATTTACACAGTGTAAACACATGTGTAAATTTCCATGTGTTTTGGGAAAAAAGCAGCTCAAAGATACCTGATGTGCTATAGACCACACACTGCTCTAAATATTGTAAACATGATAACTTGTTTGATTTTCACACTGGCTTGATGAGGTAAGTCCCACCACTATACTCCTTTTAGAGAAAAGGAAAGTGAGGCTTGGAGGAGTGATCAATTTGCCAAAGACATAGAGTCCGAGCTGGGATTTGAACCAGCTGGAGTCTGCTCTCTTGACCTGTACGTGACTCTGAGTATCCAGGCCAGTGTTCTGTTAGTGCCACGGTTTCAGGCTTTTTATTTCGTCTGCTGACTCTTATCAGTTACCAGAAGGGGACTGATAAAATCTCATACCATTCTGTGACTGCCACTTCATTTTATCTGTCAATTCTTTGTCTTTGTGTATTTTGAGCTGTGATATCAGATTCACCAAGCTTAGAACTGTTTTAAGTTCCATATGAATTTAATTTTGTTTTTAGTTATTTCGTAGCCACTTTAATCCAATAGTTCTTTTTTAGGTTCAAGTCTGTTTCACTTCATGCTCACTATAGCTATTCCAGTTTTCTTTTTTAGTGTTTTGTGGTATGTCTTGTTAAACTCTGGTGTCTGGTCTTTCTACAGCTTGATGTTTTAGTTGTTATCTATTGGCTTCTTAATAGTCTATCTTGAAAAAGTGTATCCTATTTTTTCATTTTTGCGCAGAATACCTGGGGTGTAGGTGTGCAGGGGTAAGAGGATTGATTCATCAGAGACAGAGTGGGGAGCAGGTGGATTTACTGAAACACTGCTGAGGGGAGCAGAGGCGAGACCGGAGAGGTCTGCTGTGCCATATGTGGGTCAACTCACTGGCCAGGGATAGAACTCAGGCTGTTGTGGTGATAATGCTGAGACTTAACCCTAGGCCACTAGGGAGACCCCAAAATTGTATCCTTTGATTGGAAAGTTTAATGCTTTTATACTCTCATAGTGATTAATATGTTTATTTCGGCAGGCTCCTTTGCATTTCTCTGTATACTTCCTGTTATGCCTTGTGGATTAAGGTGTTTATATTTTTTCTCTCTACTGGTTTTTCCCTCTGAGTTTGGAAGACAAAAGCTCGCTTAAATTCTAAGGTTAGTTCATCAGTATCTTCACCCTCCACCTAAACAAAGACCTGACAATATTTAACTTGGCTCACCCCTGTTTAATTCTAAACAGCTTTCTTACTGCTATCAGTTAAATATCATTATTTGCTAGAACTCACATTTATTGGGATTACCCACATAATAGTGGTATTTTTTGCTCACTAATCTCAGGCTTTCTTCTGAGATCATCTTCATTTGCCTAAGATACATGCTTTTATACTTCTTTTACTAAGGGTTTTGGCAAAATACTTTCTCTGCATATTGCGTGCATCCTGCCCATCTCCCGGATATCGAATTCTAGACTGACATTACCGTGCATTCTGCTTTCATTGCTGCTGTTCAAGTCAAGAATCTGTCTGTCCACCGACTTTCTTAAAATGATTTGCCTGTGGTTGCTTTTCTCTGGTGTGCTACATGATCAGGATGTACTAAGGTTTTCACCCAGAGGGCTGTTTAGGAAATCACCATACTGCCAGAAAAGCAGGCCCCCCCATAAGCACCCCTGTCTTCTCCCCTCTTCTAAGCCATCTCCACCTGGCAGTTCCAGCCACCCCCGCCTTTTAAAATCCTGATAACTATGCCCTGCAGAGCAGTCAAAAGTTCTTTCCTCTATGGCTCAACCCACAGGGATTGCCTCTAGCCGGCTCCCCAAGCTCTGCCGCCTCCCGACCTGCCTACTGGACCCAGCCCCATCCCACACGGCTGCCCCCCCATCCCTCCCCGACCTCCTGCCTACTGGACCCAGCCCCATCCCACACGGCTGCCCCCCCATCCCTCCCCGACCTCCTGCCTACTGGACCCAGCCCCATCCCACACGGCTGCCCCCCCATCCCTCCCCGACCTCCTGCCTACTGGACCTCAGCCCCATCCCACACAGTTGCCCCCCCATCCCACACTGCTACACCCCAGGCTGGGTTCTCCCTCCACTTGGCTCACTCATCCTCTTTGGGTCTCAACTCAAGTATCACCTCAAAGATGCCATCCCTGGGCCCTCCTTGGTTAAAGCACAGCACTGCAGACCGGCCACTGCTGCTTCAGCACAAGTTCGATTCCTCACCAGGCAGGTGACTTCCAGGGTGCAGCAAACCCCTCTTGTCTCCCCGCTGCTCCCCTCAGCAGTGTACTTCGTCTGTCTGTTTTGTCCCCACTCTGTCTCTGGTGAGTCCTCTTATGGCCTCTGCACATCTGGCCTGTGCTTCAGTTCTTTATTTATAAATAAATAAATCTTTTAAAAAAATTTAAAAAGACCCCTTCCCTGACCAGTTCCAGCTTGAGTATTCTATGTCGTTGTTCTGTTTATTAACCTGACTTGCTGGTACTTCTGGAAGTTAGCCCATGAGGGCAGGGGCAAGGTGTGTCCCCACCTGGCACTGATGGACATTTAGTAATATTTGCCGAATGAGTGGATACAGGGGAGGGGAAGGCTTGGGGTCTGGTCAGCTCTGCCCCTACTCTGATCCCCGTCTCCCCACCTCCTGCAGCCACTTTCTGGGTGAACCCGCAGTTCAAGATCCGGCTGGAGGAGGTGGACGAGGAGAACGACGACTATGGAGGTCGCGAGTCCGGCTGCAGCTTCGTGCTCGCCCTCATGCAGAAGCACCGCCGACGTGAGCGCCGCTTCGGCCGCGACATGGAGACCATCGGCTTCGCGGTCTACGAGGTGAGCGGCGGCGGGCGGAGGTGAGCGGCGGCGGGCGGAGGTGAGCCGCAGCGGAGGTGAGCCCGGGGCCCAGGTGTGTGAAGCCGCGCTCGCCCCTGCCTCGGACTCTCCGCTAGGGGGCGCCAGAGGGCACGCGGCCCCACCGTGGGGCGAGGGACCTAAAACTCACCCCAAGATGTTTCACCAGGAAGGGAAAGGGCCTGGGTTTGCCCATCTTAGCGAGCCGCTCCTGGCGGAAGGAGCTGGCTTAGCTGGCGCCAGCGAGGCAAGTTTTGTGAAGCTCTGGTCTTTCCACAGCCTTGTGTGTTGTCATCTAGTGGCTTCTTACCATCTAACTAGAAACTTGCACCCTTTGTTTTTCATTTTTGCATAGACTTTCTGGGGTGTAGGGGTGCAGGGGGTGAGAGGATTGGCCAGAGCAGGGAGCAAAATAGGCTCAACTTCAGAAATTAGTGGGCTGCCCGCTGCCCTGGCGGGGTAAGCTCTCTGGTGTGTAAGCAGAGGGCATCCCCAGGCCTGCCGCACTGTGATCAAGACAGTGACAGAGACTTCTGGATTTTTCTGCAGCCACAGGCGTGCCCCACACCAGGGAGCATATTGCTGTGGACACTATAGTTGACCGTCCCCCTGGGCTGTCCTGAGGGCTAAGACCCAGGACATTCCAGGGATGAAGGGGACCCTGTTTGTCCCCCACCCCACTCCCCACACTCTAGGGTGCTGGGCGGCCCCTTGCCGTGTGAGGACAGGTTTGGGTCATCACGGACCTCAAATCCAGGGCCTGCCCTCTTGCATCCCATCGTCCTCACCTCGAGACCCCTGCTCGGCACACACCTCATCCTGCTCTTGAAACAAGCGCTCCTCTGACGCCCCCCTTTCTTACAGGTCCCCCGGGAGGTAGGTGTGGCACCTGACTCACCTGGATTTACAAGCCCCGGAACCCAGAGAGGAGCAGAAGGCCACCACCCACACCCACAGGGCTAAGGACTCGGGGCTAGCCGCTCCCTGGGCTCCCCGCCCACTGTCCAGCGTGAGAGCAAACTGCTCTGCTGAGGGTCAGAGCAGGGGACAAGTGAGGGCTGGGTCTGAGCCAGGGCCCTCGGAGCCCCACACGGGAGCACCAGGCTCTTCCTGTCCGTGCTGGGGAAGGACTGGCTGGGCAGTGGACAGGCTCAAGGGCCCGTGGGAGTGCCCCCCGCATGGCGCCTGGGCGTCATCTGAGTTGCCCGTGGGCGCTGGCCTGGGGGGGCCCCGGGTCATGGTAACGGTGTGACTTTGTTGTGCTCCGAGCGCCTCCTCTCCTCCCGTGCGGGGGGCAGGTGCGTCGCCCCCAGTCCACAAGATGGGGAAACCCAAGCCAACTGATTTGCAGGGTGGCGGCCCTGACCAGCTCGCCCCCCCCCCCCCGGCCGGATGCAGCCCCTGAGCGAGGCTTCCCCCTGTCCTCGCCAGCTGGTGGGCCGGCCGGCCGTGCACCTCAAGCGCGACTTCTTCCTGGCCAACTCGTCGCGGGCGCGCTCGGAGCAGTTCATCAACCTGAGAGAGGTCAGCACGCGCTTCCGCCTGCCGCCCGGGGAGTACGTGGTGGTCCCGTCCACCTTCGAGCCCAACAAGGAGGGCGACTTCGTGCTGCGCTTCTTCTCGGAGAAGAAGGCCGGGACCCAGTGAGTCCAGGGCTTGCCCCTGGCCCGGCCTTGCCCTGCCCTCCCTCGCTGCCCTGCCCTCACTGACGCTCTCCATCCCCACCCCTGCAGGGAGCTGGATGACCAGATCCAGGCCAATCTGCCCGATGAGGTGTGTGCCCTGCCCCTCCGGTGCCTGCCCCTCCCCCACCGTGGCCTGGCCCTGGACTCCAGAGCCCCTCCTGGCTGCAGCCTTAGAGTAACGCTCATCCTTTGCTGGACACACTACAGTTTGCAAAGGACTGCTGGCGATCATGGTGCGGCCCTGAGTTCTCGTTCTCTGTCCAGTCGCTGTCCCGTCCCCTTTATCCTCCTCGAGCCATTTCTTCCACAATGGCCCTGTTGGGGTGCCCGCTCTCCCCTCTCAAGGGAAGCTGGGGTTGAGAGATTAAGGCAGTGGGGCGGGGTCAGGCCGGGGTCAGGTCTCGCTCTCAGCCCTGAGCCAAACCGCATCCTCCTTCGACCAAGCAAGCGCCCTGCCTGGGGCAGAGTGGGGTTGAGGTTCTGGTGGCCAGCTGAGAAGAGACACTGAGAAGGGTGGACCCACCGCCCGCCCCTGCCCCATGGCACCATCCCTGCAGGGGTGGGAGGGGCAGGGGCGCCCTGACCTGCTCCCCCTCCACCAGCGCGTGCTCTCGGAAGGGGAGATCGATGACAACTTCAAGACCCTCTTCAGACAGCTGGCAGGGGAGGTAGGTCGGGTGCAGCTGGGGGTGTGCGGGGCACCGGGGCCCCTCCCCAGCGCGGGCCCTCCATCCTCCCTCTTCCCCAGGACTTGGAGATCAGCGTCAAGGAGCTGCAGACCATCCTCAACAGGATCATCAGCAAACGTGGGTGTCCCAGGCGGCTCTTCCCTCTCCTGCCCTGCCCCGTTTCCTCCCCTCCCCGAACCAGCCCAGTCCCACTGCGCCACTAGGTCCCAGCAGGGCTGCCTCCCCAGTCCTGCTCACCCCCTTCTCCTCCAGACACCTCCCTGGCGAGCCGGGCGACCCCTGCCCTGCGCTCAGCGCCAGCTTGGGGGCAGCGTGGGCACTGCAGCCCACCCACAGCACTAGAGCCGCAGCCCAGGCTCCCTCCCTCCCGGACACCTTGCCACCCCAGCTCC